CATTTGTGTCTGTGTGGGGAAGATGGCCACAGTTGTGTCTGTCACCTGATATGGAGTTTGTGAATGGAAGCAAAATTTTGTCCAATGTTTTTGTTTGAGAACCTGTTTGCAAACAATAGGGTTCGTGAACCAATGTATTACTGTAGTCATTCTTTGAGGTTGAGTTTGGTTTGGGGAACAATCTAAAATCATTTGGAAACAAAGGTGATGATTACATTTGAAAACAATTTTTAGTCATTGATACCAAAAATGTGTATTAAATTCTAAAAAGCAAGGGTCATAAACAAAAACATGAAAAGTATACTTCCTACACTCAAGATGTGTAATGTATAAGAGGGTCAGAGCAAGTGGTAAGATGATTTTGAGTTCAATATGCTTCACACTGCAGTACTTTTCTATTTTTTGAGTACCAACATCTTAATAGTCTTATACTTTGCATGTTCTTTGTCTTACAGACAGAACTCCCATGTGCTCCTTTCCTAAGATAGGTGGGAAATGGTAAATCATCCATATTTTATATTGACAAAATTGAAATGAATGAAATATAATAGAAGCTGTCCCAAGTGACTGTACTGAATTTTATCATTTTTGTTTTCTATTAGTCTGCACATCTCTTTGGGGAATTATAAAGTGACAAAACATAAAACCCCCAAGGAATTCTTGTTTAGGAACATTTAACACTATGTGTGTGAAACAAAAATTGAAAGATCTTATGTTCTGAAAACATGTACAGTATTAAAGTGAAAAAAATTGAACGATGCATGGTCAATGGTAGGAAGTATATAAGTGCTAATGTTTTCTTCTCTGTGAACCTTGTTTTTTCTATTTTTGCCTTTTCAGTTTTGCCTTTTTCTTGTCCTTCTGTGCAGGTTAGAAACTCTTGCAATGTTAAATAGAAATGATGGGCTTCAAAGTTTCTTTCTCATTTTAAAGTGAAAGCTTTGCTTTCTCATACATAAGATACGTATTCTTTGTGAAAATAAGTTTCCTGGTTTGCTAAGCTTTCTATTTTGAAAAAATCACCATATTGAATTTAAGTAATACATAGGTGTTCAATATTTTCTTTTGCGTCATTCCAACATCTGTGGTCTTGGGGGATCTAAAACTTGTTTGGTGCTTCTAATTGACAGTCTCAATGTGTCATTTAAAGCATTACAGAGATTCCCTGGAGCTTCTATTCCTCTAAAAAAATGCTTCCTGTTTTTTTGCCATATATTTGGCCATCATATTTAAACTATGGACAGTGGTCACAAAAACACGTTAGTGGTACCTAACCACTAAAGAGGAAAAGATTAAACTCCTTCTAAAGAAGGGAATTTGAAGGATTCTGATTTTAAAAGATTAAAAAAATCAAATTAAAGTAAATCCAAAGCAAACACCATAACGTGTAAATATTTGATCATTTTTGGAGGCCAACAAATGTTTGCACTTTGTAATTTGTATTTTCATTGTAAGTTTTAAAAAAGGAAAATTTCAGCCTATTGCTGATAATCTTTGATTAAATTACACATACAGTAAGCAGAATTACTTGTTTTATCCCTGGAATCCAGTAACCCTTGTCTACCATGGCAAATAACTTATTGCAGTATAATTTTTTCTTCAGATATGTATTTTCTTTCTGTGTATTTTTCCCAAATTAAAATACAATAACAACAATAAAGCTGGCACAGCAATATTAATATCAGATAAAATAATGAATAATGGGGAATGTTTTTACATGCTTCACTCTATCAGCTCTTTAATCACTTAAAAGCAGGTAAAGTGTGTTATTCATCTTCATCACATTGTGATATGGCCAATATCTGGCCTGTATTAATTTGGTGAATTTAAGTGTTACATGGTTGGTTCCACCTTGTCCATAGCATTGTTATCTGCGGTTTAAGTTACTCATAGACAACTATGATCTGATGATACTAAATGGAACATTCCAGAAATAAACAATTCATAAACTTTATATTATGTTCTGGCCAGGAGGTGGGTCATCCTTTTGTCCAGTATCCATACTGTATATGCTACCTGCCCTTTGGTCATTTAGTAATTGTCTCAGCTTATCAGCTCAACTGTCATGATACTGTAGTACTTATGTTCAAGTAACCCTTATTTTACTTATTACCCCAAATTATGAGTAGTGATGGTGGCAATTTAGATATGCCAAAGAGAAGCTACAAAGTGCTTCTTTTAAGTGAAGAGATAAAAGTACAATAAGATACTTTCAAAGAAAAAGATCATATTTACATAACTTTTATTACAGCATATTTTTATAATGGTTCTAAGTTACTTGTTACTCACTGTGCCTAACTTATAAACTTCTTCAGAGGTATGTGTATCTATGTATGGAAAAATGTATAAAGTTCAGTACTAAGTGCTGTTTCAAATATTCACTGGACATCTTGGAAAATGTCTGCCACTGATAAGGGGAGACTAATTCTTAAGGTTTGGAGTGAGAAAAAGATCAATGCTTAATTCTTTCTATGTAATACTACATCATTATACTGAATATATTTCTGTAATGGGTTCAAATTCTTCACTGGGTGGGAATGTAGCAGAGAGATTAGAACACTCAGCTGACTGTAGTTCCCAGCCACCTTAGAAATTAGGTGTTATCTATATGATTAGGTTGCAATGAAATGTGAGCAGAAAAGATGTCTGACATTTCCAGGCATGGCCCACCAAAGCCTTCCATTTGTATTTCTCTATTCTTTTCCCTTGTCTAGCTGACTGAAATGTCAGCACCAAGTCTGAAAAGCCATATGCTGAGATGGCAGGACTGACGTCAGTTTCTGTTCCTGGAACTATGTGGAGGAGAACCTACTCCTAAAACTGAACATGTATTCTGGACTGTTACATGAGCAAGAAATTACCCTCTATCTGTTGAGATAATGAATTCTTGGGCATCTATTCCTGCTTTTTAAAATTACTTTAACCAATAAAGTACAAAATGTAAAAATGTTTAGATAATCTTGAGTTGAGTCATGTAACTTCCAGGCCTCAATCTTCATTTTTGAAATGTGAATATCTACCTGGAGTTTAGAAAATTAAGAGAGAAGCTATATGAATGAAGTATGTTATAAACTCTCAATCATAACTGAAAGGGGTTTACTTAAGACTTTAAATCTACATAATACATTTAATACATAAAATTACTATTTTAGGATTATGCCACTCTAGATCTTTTCATGTTTTGTAGTGTAAAAGTCTAAATTTTTGTGCAGTGTTCAGAGTACTGATGAACAATTCAATTTACCTTTCAGACTAATTTTTCTACCCCTCTATATCCTTCTACTCCACTAGATTTCTTAAAATCCCCAAGATAAAAGTATGTATTTTCACTTTCCCTTGTGTCTGTGCATGCTGTTCCCACAGCCTGAAATGCCCTCTCCTCCTTTGCTTGTTGACATTTTATCTATACTTCAAAGCTCAGGTCTAATATCACTTTCCTCCTCCATTGATTTTCTTAGGAAAAAGAATCTTACATGTTATTAATTGATGAGATAGGAAATACACATTTATTATAACTTTAAAAAATACATTCTTTAATGTTTCCAGAGTATGTATATATATTTAAAACCATGGAAAACTGAAAAATTAACCTCACATATTATTAAATAATTATGATCCAAAACCAGGTAAAATATTCCTTACAGTATTTTAAATGTCTTAAATTCTGAACCACTGGAAGAGCAAATTTTCTCATAGAAATATTTAATGTTATTAAAAGTATACTCCATTTTAACATTAACTCCATTAAGGTACTACTCTGAAAGCTACACAATGCTGCTGTTATTATAGATTATAGAAATCCAAAGAGATCAACAATATAGAGTAGCAATATGCTAATATTTTGAACTAGCATTTCAAATGTAGACTGGCTATATATTTTCTTTAAAGCTTAAAAAATTCTTTCATTTTGCTAAGACACATTTTGTTGTCATTAGATTCTACTGATTTTTTAGAAATAGAGCTGCTCCACACTGAATCCACTGGTCTTGGTTGCGGCCACATGGAACATCGATATTGGTTACCACACGATCCCTTTCGGCACTTGTGTAAACCGGCAAAGAGATGCACTCATCAGGGGAATATGGGCCATATGCACCCTGTTAAAAGAAAGTTTTAAAACACAAGAATGTACTCTTTTGAAGCAAATTAGTAGATAACTAAGGAAACACAGATAAATCTCCTGCTAGTGTTTAATGTCTCATGAAATAAATATTTAAGTAAAGATAAATATAATAAACCCATATCGTACTACAATACTTATGGACAGTCATATTTCCTTTACAACCAAATCCTATAATTATAAATTATGTATAAACATAATTCCCCAATATCATCTAATCTCCATTATCTCATTATCCCTAAGTTTTTATTAGAATCATAATTCAAATAAAGCCTACACCTTACAGTGTACTGATGTTTTTTAAATTTCATAAATCTATAGGTTTTTCCTTTTTTCCTATCAGTTCTTCTCATGACAAAACTATACCATATTCTTAATTTTATGGTTACAGTCGTATAGTATCATGTCCTTCCTTGTAATTCACTTTTTGACAAAAATACTCCATAGATGTATTAGTTTTCATCAGAGGCATAATAATGTCTGGTTGTCTGCATTACAGTCCCTTTCTCTCCCTCTCTTACACAAATGCACACACACAAATACTTTTCTGAGTCTTCAGGTCCTTGATAAAAATCATTCCTAAATCTTAACCTGATATACATACAACAAATTTCATTCTTTAGCCAGACTCATTCTACATACAGATACAAACATTATCCATCCTGATCTTACTAGTTATCTTTGTTTGCATTATTTCTCTTAGTAATTCAGCTACTTATTTAACAGCATTTCATATGTTAATATTTGTGTGTAAAATTGTAAAGCCTGAGCTTTTCAGTATATACAAATAGAGAAAATCTGTATAGTTTAAAATTAAGTTTGGGAAACCATATACACATCACATATTTAGAATATAATTTTTTGAAAATGTATATTTTAGAAAATCAATAAAAAATACTACTCTGGAATTTAACTGAATGAAGATTCATGGAGAGAATGAATCCTGATTGAACTGCAGAAAAAAAAATGTAAGGATTGGAGTAAAGATAATTTTTCAACCATTATCTGTCACTGACTAATCTCTTCCTTCTCCAATTCTGCTTTAATGGTAAAGCTTTAGGATTCAAAAATTCCTGTAACTGTCATAACTCCTTAGCCAATCCTAAGGTGAATAACCTAGTACAGGCTTTCTTCTGGAGTCATCTTTAGATTCTTTAGCCAAGAACAGACAAACATTACGTATTTCTAGTACTGAAGTGATCTGAATCTGTGCATGATGACTTTTAATCCTAGGAAAGGATTTAAATTATTTTTCTCTGACACCTGCTATTTGCTTTGCTTTCCATTACTTCAATTATAAAAACTAAAATAGAAACATTGTAATATTTTGCAATGCCATTCCTTTCTAGTCAGGAGATTTGTGTTTATATCTCTTCATTGTAATGCCAAGAAAATTTCCCTTTAACTGAGAAACTTAATAATTCAAGTTGATTTTGTGTCTTATTTCCAAATCCTTCCACACCGGGTTGTAGTTGTAGACTTTGTTTGTTAAAGTGAATTGTCAAATCTTTCTCCCACAGCCTAGTATTATAAAGCAAAGCAGTACAGTGGCTTCTTGATTTTTTTTTTTTGCTTGTCATTTTCCACAATCTCTTAAGTGGTAAATGTTCTTATTTCTGTAAAAGAGCCGAGAGGACTTATTCTTAATTCACCAGTAAATGTTCAAAATAGAGCCAGATCTAAATATTTTTTAATTCTTCACTGAATGTAATGTTTATGACCCAACTTCCTCTTTCATACATTTACCTTAAGAGGCAAAGCATAAAACTGCTGGGCTAAAATATTTAGATAAAATTAAAATTTTATTAACAAATATACTGTTAATGAAAAAGATAATTTTTATTGATTTAACAAAATTTTTTAAAGTTCCTGAAAGAAAATTGTATATATAAACAAAATTTAGTGTAACTAAAATTTAATCATTAAAAATCTATATATTGTGATTAAAGTAGTTAATGTGGTCAAATATTATAACTTTATTAAAATCAAAACTAGTCTGGTTGGATCATTTAATAAAGAAGCTAAAATTGTATACTCATTTGGGCCAATTAGTTTTTCACAGGCAAAAAATTATGTAAAGAAGTGTGCTGCATAATTTTTCTGCTTCCCTAAATTGTCCAAGAAAAGTCTGAATGCCTCACAACAAAATTAACTTCTATGCTCTAGGCAGTGACTGAAAAGTACAGGTATTCTACAAATAATATACAATATGCTAATAACTTGGGAGAAAAAATACATTTTTTGAAGGAAAAACATATTAGATACAGCTTAGTCAACAGAGGGCAACAAAAATAAAATAAAAAACAAAATCATGAAGTCTAGCTGAATTCCTGTGGAATGCCAAAACAGGCTCTCCTGAGACTGGTCTACAAATCATATTATGTAGAATACTATATCCTGATGGAGGACAGAATGAAATGTAGGAAAAGTTTTATGGATGGTAATTTTGGGGGTTTCTCAGTTTTTAATGCAAAAATTTCCAATGGGGAGCAAATACTGTATAAAATGTTTACTGAACTACTTTTCCACAGAACTAGTATGGAATAATGTTATCTTAAAACATTTTTGGAAGTGTTTTGGAAAAAACTAATGCTTTCAGGGGCTAAGTCCCTTGGATATCTTAATTTGACTTAATTTAACCAGTAGCGTTGAGCTGCAACTTCAAGAATCTGCATCATGAATGAATGAAAGCGTAAGTGAAGAGAATGGGTACAAGTTATGTCTTAGTACGCACAGATAATGGTGAACACAAACTCTAGGGGAACCCCTGATTAACATTTTCCCTACTTTCAATTTCCTTGAGAATTCATTATTCTGATTTGTATTATTTAATCCAAACATTAAAAAGTTCTGCACACTTTGCAACAAAGCAGCTGGAGCAAATGGAGACAAAACTAACTTTCTACTGGGTTCAGAAATTGATGTTTATACTTTTAATTTTATGCTGGTCCTTTCTCTCTGAATAAAATTCATTAAAATGTTAATCTTCTTTTCCACTTCAACTTATATAGAACATATTAAAAATAGCCACAGTTGCCCTATAAAAAAACTTTCTTAAACAAAATAAGGCCTAATTGAAGCAAAGGTTGGAGAGGTTAATAGTTTATACAGAGTTGGCAAACAGTTTTATGAAATGCCAGAGGGTAAATATTTTAGAGTTCGTGGGCCACATGGTCTCTGAGACAACTACTCAACTCTATTGCCTTAAATCAGTCACAGACTATGTGCCCATACATTGGGCATGGCTGTCTTCCAAATAAAAGTTTATGTATACAGAGATCTGAATTTCATATACAGTATTTTCACGTCACCAAATTTTATTCTAAGTTTTTCAACCTCTTAAAAATGTAAAAACAATTCAGTGATCATGGGCTGTTAAAAAACTGGCAGCAAAAAAGATGTGGCTCTTGGTCCATAGTTTTTCTAACTTGGTTTATACAATTTAGGATAGCTCAGGGTTAGGTCAAATGTTTGAGAGAGAGACTTAGGTTTGAATTTGTTGCCTACCTATTAACTATGGGATATTTGACAACTTATATAATCTTTTCAATTTTCTCAGTTTAAAAAGATACTAACTCCTATTTCTAAAGTTTTGTAGGCCGGGGATTTACCTCAGTGGCGCCATGCCTGCCTTGTAAGCACAAGGTCCTGAGTTCAATCCTGGTACCAAAAAAAAAAAAAAAAAATTTTGTAAGGGTTAGTATCTTCTTGTTTTGTTTTTTTTTGGTACCAGGGATCAAACTCCAGTCCTTGCACCTGCGCAGCAGGCGGCAAAACCACTGAGCTAAATCCCCAGCCCTGTATCTTGTATTTTAAACACCTTGAACAGTGCTTTGTACATAATCAGTACAAATAAATGCTTATTGTTATTAACATAATATTACTATTGCTACTTATAACAAATCATTTATTTCTCAATTATCTTTATCAGTAAGACAGGAGAACCTGCTCTACCAAACTCACAGGACTGCTATTAAAGGTGAGTATAGTGGCATTTTACCATGTATCAGCCTACCCTACTTCTAGACTGATTTTCTAAAACTACAAACTGGATCTGACCATGCTATTATTCTAAATTCTTACTGGCTTTCTACTGACCATAATCTGGTCTAAATTCCTTGGCACTGCTACTCAGCTTGTCATACTTGGTCTTGGCCTTCCTTTCTTAGAAATCTTTTTTTTTTTTTTGGTACCAGGGATCGAACTCGGGCCCTTGTGCTTGCGCAGCAGGCAGTGAAACCACTGAGCTAAATCCCTAGCCTTGGCCTTCCTTCTTAACACATCTCTACCAGTCTTCCATGTGAACATACACTCCAGATATACTATACCAGCAGTGCCCGGCAGAACTTAATTTCTTTCTTACCTCCATGTATTTACATCTGCAGCCCTTTCTATGTCTTATCCTCTACCCTTTTTGAATTTGTCCTTAAACTCTATTACTTATATTTCAAGTCACAGTTCAAGAGAGGTTGCTATCTCTCTGGGAGAGGTAGCTTTGACTTTCTTTCATCTGCTCACACATGGTACAGCTGAAGCAGGCATCTCTAATCTATCAAAGCTCTACTCTATGGAACTATATAATTGCACTTATAATTCTGAACTGTAATAGTGTCCTCCCCCAGTTAAAAAGACTTTCTGATGGGAGAAGTTTATCTTTGTAGCTTCAGTGTGCCATGTAATATCTGGTACATAAATATTCAGCAAGTATTTAATGATAAATGAAAGCACCAGTAAACTCTAAAGCACTATACGAAATAAGGTAATTATCATTATTAAAAGCATTTAAAAATATTGGCAATGGGATAAATAAGACTGTGTGTGAGACAATGTGCTGGATAATTTATATACAACAAGTGTATATATCTTCATATATCATCCTCATCTTCAAAGAGAAACCTGGCTCAGTGAAGTTACTTTGCTTAAATCACCTACTTTATAATTTAGATTCTGGGGTTGGAAGTAAGGTCTGTTGAACTCCAAAATTTTGTGTTCTGAAACAATGTCTCATATTTTTCTGATCTGATTATGGAACACAATCTGAAAGCAGTAGGATTTGGACAGAAAGAAGAAGCTTACTATAAGGGTGGGAAGAAGGGAGGCAGGGAAGCACTAGTAAATATTTTCCTTATATGTCACACAAAAGTGCAAAAGCCTAAGAGGAATCTCTTACATAAAGATAGTTTAAAAAAAATCTTTTAGCTAACTCTTTTATAGATTACTCAATTCATTTTAGCTTTCTTCACATGAGCTCGTTTTCAAATTATTTTTAGTTTTTTATGCAGATCCTAAATTTTTAAGATGTGAAAAATATTAGACATAAATGATATATGAAGTAAATTAGCACAAAGGTATTCTAGTTTTGTAAGGTCACATTGCTTTTCATACAACCTAGTAAGTAATACACTGGCTTTTTCTATAACAACATTCTATTCTGACTTGCATTAGTTTATGTGGTCCGTTAGTTGGGTATTGCCCCAGGTCATATTCTTCATTTATTCTAGTCACTTTCCCTGTTCTATTTTTATCAATGGGGTTTCTTCAGTAAACCAGTTAACACATGTGCAACTATCCCCCACCATCAAAGTTATTATGTGAATTTTATTTGCCATAGAATCAACACCACCTAATTTGGATTCATTACAGTTCATCTAGGTCATATACAATTTCAAATGATTTGGCTAAAACCCTTGGTGAATTCTAACCTCAACTTTTGTATATAACTTTCAATTAGGTTCACAAACCTAAGATCAAAAAATGTATCATCTGTAATTTATCAACTTTGGGTTGGAATTTCTTATAGGAATTAATGGGAAGATTGAAATAAAACAAATATTCTTTTATTCACCCAACTCACTCTAATACTGGAGAAAATGAATATGATATGGAAGAAAAACAGGCCTCGCAATAATGTGTATGCTCTTAGGTTAGAGGATACTCAGAGCAGTGATTGCTAATTATTACTATAGATTTAGGTTTTGTTTTTCATATTTTAAAATAAATACTCAGATGCTTTTGATTTTATAAAAAGAAACCATTACTAGAAAATTCAATGCTATTTTCCAATGACAAAAATATATTTTTGTAATGAGCAGTATATGAAATAGTTCTACTCCTTAGATGCAGGATTAAATTTTATTCACATATAGTCACACTTACATTCTTAAACTTAGTTGTTAAGAAAAAGTTATATTTCACCTACAGCTATGTCCTACTTTAAAAGTATGTGTGCTGTCAAGTTCCACTGATGAAAATTTTTTCAATAATTGGAAGTTTTATCTTCAGCTTGTCTATCAGCTGCTCAATTGCCATGGTGTGTTACAAAGCTCCAAACACACATTAACTCCTTGGTTTCCTTACTTCCTGTGTGCCTGTGGGAAGTCTTTTAACTTGCATGGGCATGTGGTTACTTATTTGAAAGTGAGAATATCTGTTTTTCATAGCTGCTTTGACAAGTACATATGGTAGATGAAATATCTAGCACATCGCTGAAAATAAGACACAATACATGGTAGTTCTTATCATTAGACTTTTTCCTTATAAGGTTATACATTCTTTAGATATTAAAACTATTATTCTTTCCAAAAAAAATAGTTTTAAAATATCCTGTACATTAAAAAAATTGTAAGGATAAAATGCTTTGACTAAAAATTTGTTCAAATGCAGTAACATTAGAAGGCAAACAAAAAATTGACAGGGCAAGAATATATCTTACTGAAAAGATGAAAATCTAAGTGAATTGATAAAATTAAAAATTGTACAGGTTAACAATGTATTACCTGTGGAATCCAGCCCATAAAACAAGGGAGAACTGATGACACACTAGGAGAATCATCGTGATTTTCAGAAAGCCGATTGCCATCAAAACTGCATCCTTCCAGTAATAAGCCACTGATCTGCCATGGAAACACATACATCATTTAAAAGTATCTTAAATTCTAAAATATTAGGAGTTACTGCAGTACATCTTAAGAACAAAGGTCACATGCTCCATTGTGATATATCTTCAATTCTATGAAAAAAGATATTATAACATTTTATTGGAATATAAAGAAGATCTGGCCAGTGTTTACTATGAAATTTTTTTAGACTGGATTCTCATTTTTTAGTATTTTAGGACAAATCACAAATGTCTTCAATTATGTGCTTTGGCATTATATTATGGAAATATAATGTCAAAAGCATAATTAGAAAATATGTGCTCCTTGCTTGGAATTCTAACATTTAAAAAAAAAAGAATAAAACAAAATTCAGAAAGTTTAATGAGAAAAAAATTAACATGTCATGTAGAAATGAAATAATAAAAAAGGAGAAAGAATATCTTACTATAAAGTGAGCTTTGTATAAGTGGAAGAAATCCTGAAATTAAAAGTATAGATCTTTGGTAATATTAGCTTCATATTTCTTAGTGCTCACTCTTTTAGATTTCCAGTGTTAAATTTACCTATATAAAGGAAACAAGTGGAATGCATTTTGGGTTTGTAATTCTTCAACATTTAGCCTTCATTGCCACATCTATATTCGCACAGACTTTACTTGGTACCAAAGTACAATCTTATAAATATTATATAATATCAAGTTAAAATGATCATAATGTTTCAACTTAAAATTTTTCAACTTTATAGTAAGCAAATATGATATACTCAGTAGAAATCATATTTTGAATCTTTCCTGGGGTGAACAATATGTGGTAGGATAATTTCTGGCAAAGCTGGGCAGCTGCAGCTCTCAGCAACATAATCATAAAGATAAGGTACTACTGCGTTGTTAAGCTATTATGTTCAGTAGATTAGGTGTATTAAATGCATTAATATTTTTAACAATGAGTCAATTGGGACATAACCTTGCCCTAAGTTGAATTTAATTTATTCTGTAAATAAATTAGAATTTCAGAAGAAACACACCTTACGTTGGTGTGAAATTTCATCAAGTTTTAAACTTCAATAGCTATCTAGAAATTTGTAGACTCCACTGAGAGCTTTCCAATTTTATCATGTCGTGTATAGAACTGAGATACTACACCAGTGCTGGCAAACCTTTTAGAGACTGAGAGCCCAAACAAACCCACTTATTTATTGCAAAGTGCCAATACTTCAATTTAATCTGGATACTGGGGTTTTAGTTTCGAAAAAAACAACTTATATACTTGGCTTGTTTACTGACAGAGCTCTGTGTGCCCCCAGAAGCACATGTGCCATAGGGTTGCCACCACTATCCTACATGCTACCACTTACCTAGTCCTATCATTTTCAGTAAATATGTCCTGAATATGTCCTTTTCTTTTTACTCTTTATAATTACCCTAGTCTGGAAACAATAAGTTTTGGAGAAATTTCTATTCAAATGCTTTGTCTATTTTTTAATTAGGTTGTCTTTTTATTAGTGAGTTATAAAGAATTCTTTATTACATTCTATATGTAAGTTCCTTATATACATGATTCGTGAGTACTATATGGGTCTCATTGTATGGGTCAAAATACATGATTTATAAACAAGTTTAAGGATGTTATAACTTCTGAAAAACAAAACTTTCTGGATTTAAAAATTGTATAATACAAAGACAAGAAAAACAACTATTAAAACTTTTTCTTTAAGTTTTCAAAATGGGAACCATTTCTAAAAGATGGTGTCATAGTACAGACTGCTATTGGTTTTCCCTATTAAAAATTCAGTCTTCTAGGGATGGGGATTTAGCTCAGTGGTTTCACCACCTGCCTAGCAAGCTCAAGGACCCGAGTTCAATCCCCGGTACCAAAAAACACAAACAAATTCAGTCTTCTGGGGATAGCTTCTGACCCATATTCTTTTTCAGATTTATTCCTTCTCTACTGGAGAGACAGGGAACAGGGATAGGACAGTCAGCCAAACTGCCCTCTTTGCAGCAATGGGCAGGGGATGTGATCCATGCCAAAATTTTGAATCTTGCACGGTTGCAGAGAAGTTTTTAAATTGAGCTGACCCCTTCTTATGGTGTACTGTAGAGTTGGCTCTTTCAGGTCTGCATCTTGGTTCCCAGAGATGCTCTTGTTCATGTCCTTTTTGAAACTTGCTCTTTCAACTTTTTCTGTGAGCTTTGTCATTCCATTTCTTCACAGTAACTTATTTTCCGCTTAATACCTAGAGTTAGTTTCTTTCAGAAAGACTTTTCTGATATATAACATTTATATATATTATGAAATTCAATGTGATATTTGTTTCATGTGTACATTGAGTAGTGATCAACTTGGCAAATTAGTATACCCATCACCTCAAACTTCTATCATTTCTTTATGGTGAATACATTATAATTCTTCTATTTTGCAATATATCATATGTTACTGTTAATTACATTCACCACACTCAGCTTAATTATAAATGTACTTGTAAGTAGGGCCAGAGAAAACAAAGCACAGTTCCAGTATTAAAAGTACAGGTTTTAGAATCTGACTCCCCAATTTTCTGTTTCTTCATCTATAAGATGCAAGAAAAATAAAATCTACCTCAAATGACTATGTGGAAATTAATTATACATCATGTATTAGCATAGTATCATAAATTATATCCTTGTTCCAAATGGCTTCTGAAATAAAGGAAAGAGTAAAAGCAGATAGGCTCAGCATATTATCTTCTGAAAAAGATAGTTTGGAGGAAGCAACAGTTCTCCAGGCACATATTAAATGCAAGAATTAGGTAGACTTAATTTCTAATCACAATGTGCTGAACAAAGCATCAAGCTGCCTGTGATAGTTAATCTTGAGAGATTAGTAAAGTACACTTTTGGATGTGTCTGGGTGGGTTATGACCCTGGGGACTATATCTGGCCCCTACCCCCCTTTTCTCTGACACACTTGCCCTGTGCTCTGTTCCTTGGATGCCAAGAATTGAACAACTTTGTTCTACCATGTCATAATGTTTCTGCCTTGGAGCAGCTTTCCATGGACTGAAACTTCTGAAACTATGAACCTCTCCTCCTTTTAAGTTGCCATGTCAGGTATTTTATCCTAGCAAGGGAAAATCTGACTGATATACTACCCTATGGGCAGAAATTCCCTGAAGGAGCAGAGCAAAATGTCGAAATCCAAAAGCATAAGGACAGGCATAAGCACACAATATTAGGTCCTAAGTTTTTTATTCAAACTCATAGGCAGATAGAGACTCCTTCCTTGAAAAGGGAGGAGTGAAGAAGATAGAGGATTAAAGGATATAAATATTAGTGAACATCTCTCCACATACAGGAATCGAAAAAAAGTTTCTAGCAACATATTTAAAATAGAAGAAAAACTGCGTTACATACTAAATGTTCAATATGTTTTAGTTATCACTGTTCATTGAACCTGTCATTTATTTATTTTATTTATTTATCTTTTTTGTACCAGGGATCAAACTCAGGTCCTTGCGCTTGCAGGGCTGGCAGCGGAACCACTGGGCTAAATCCCCGGCCCTAGCCTGTCTTTTAATCTTTAGACATTTAAAATTATTTTATGTAACTATCAATTTAAATAATGCAAAATAAAAGTTCAAGCTGAAATTATTTGGATAATTCTAAGGAAAAGAGCTGTCTGTAATATTTAATTTGCAAAATTTTTTCAATTTGTTCTAGATAACTGAATTCATTCTATCATTTCATTTATACAATCCAAGAGTTAGGGGATATGGTAGAGCATGATGTCTAATTTTATATTTTTATATTTCCATGCTATACTTTCATTTCTATTCACTCCTATTGAATGAAAACCATGAAGTGCTATTTATACTTACATGTATACTTAGGAGACATACATAAGACTTTTACCAAACATATAGGAGAAAATATTATTTTGGACATTAGTACCTTATTGATATGACATTTATCCTTTGGATTGAAAGAAACAATTATGGAGACTAGAGCTTATTTGTTTACATTATATTAAAATAATTATATTGTTGCTGAGGATTTAGCTCAGTGGTGCCACTGCCTGCCTAGCAAGCACAAGGTTCCAAGTTTGATCCCCAGTACCAAAAAAAAAAAAAATAATAATAATTATATTGTTGAGGCTGTCTCTTGATATCTGTGCACATATATTATTTGAGGTGCATGCAAACAACTATTAAGTGATGTGTATCACCTGTTTAATTTTATTTCCTCTATCCAGAATGGGAACATAATAAAATCAATAAGCCAAAAACTTTGTATTCATATATTATTGACATGTGAACCTTTGATCAAAGCATCTAAAAACAAAGGAGCAATTACCAAGTTTGTTTTTCTAAAGGACATTTGTTATTGTTTACAAATTCATAATCACCCACTGAGGGGATGGTGTGAATCAGGGAGATCACAATTGCCTGAGTATATTCCAATTAATTATCATGATCCCAAACTACTCTGAAAGGGCTATTCAGATAGTCCATTCCTAGTTTCTCATTTCAACAGAAATTAGCAATAGTAACAATAGTGGCTTTGTTTGATTAAAAAAAAATCAGAGCCATTAATTTATTTTACATATGATGCTGAATTTCTTAAATGCTTCTAATTTTAACTTAAAGTTTGAGTTTTATTTTAGTAAGTTATTACATAGCTTTACTTGTTTGAAATCTCCTTTAAAAACTGAAAAATATTTCAAACACATAGAACATTTTAAGAACATTTTATAAAAATCACATCCCTGTCCATTTATTTAACTTTAATATACAGATATGTCTGTTTCATACCTTTAAGCAAATAGTTGATGACTTCTGTGTATACCTTGGCTTTTTTTTGTTATTGTTGTTTTTCCTTGCTCATTCGATCTAGTCATTATCCAAGATTTAGCTAGATATGACTGCTACTGTATTCATAAAACAATAAACAGTTTTCATCTTTCTAATTGGATGTTAAGGGAAATGTGCTCTATATACTATTTTGCAACCTATTTTCATCACTGGTTTTAAAATGCATCCATTTCGTTCTTTCATTTATAACATCTGTGCAATATTTCACTTTATTAATAAACCAGTTATTTTCTGCTGATAAATATTTCAGTTGTTTTCAATTGTTATTAAAAACATTGCAATAAAAATTATGTATGTGCTTCTTTATACACATTTGCATGCAGAGATAAAGTTGGTAGGTTGAAGAGTATATTCATATTCAGATTTACTTGATATTGGAAAATTATTCTCCAAAGCAATTCTACCAATCTATGTTCCTACTTGTCATGTATAAGAATTTACATTGTGCCGTAATGTTGCAAATCCTTATCCTATTGAGACATAAAATTTTCCAATCAGATGAGCATGAAATGAAACTAAATTTTGGGTCTAATTTAATTTCCCCAATTATAAGTGAGAATAAGAAACTTTAGCCCATTAAAGTTTCCCTTCTCATACATTGCCTATTAAAATCCTTTGCCCACCTCTTCTATGGGAGTGGTTTTTAAAGATTGATTTGCAGAAGTCCTTTATGTTTTATACACTACTCCATCCCTTCATCTCTTCATCCCTTCCATCCTTGTTCCAGCCTGGGCTCCAGCTTACAATCCTCTCGCCTCTGCTTCCCAGAGTGCTGAATTACAGATTTGTACCACATCGGGCTCCTTTATCAGTTCTTTAAGAATCATTTCCTCAGTCTGTGACCTGTGTTTTCACTTTGTATGATGTTCTTTTAGTTTCAGCATAGTGAATTTATCAGCTTTTTTCTTTAAGGATTTTTTTTTTGTAGCCTTAAAAAATCTTGAATATAGACATTTCCCCCTATTTTTATTTCTAAAAGTATTTTTTCAAAAATATTTTATTTCTTTAAATTTTGCTTTTTATGTCTTCAGAATCAGTATCAAATCTTATCATTTTCTTTCTTTCTGTTTTTGTTTTTTTTGGTACCAGGGATCAAACTCAGGACCTTGCGCTTGGCAAGGCAGGTGTGGTGCTACTGAGCTAAATCCCTGGCCCAAATTTTATCATTTTCTATCAGTAATTGTCTCAAGATCATTTATCAAAGAATCCATATATTCCACAGTTTGCAATGAGTGCCACTTTTTTCACATGTCAAGTTTCCATAACAGGCAAAGTCTGTTTCTGGACTCTTGTTCTATTTGTTCCTCTGTCTTTTGTTATATTAATACTATAGCTTAGTAACAATGTAACATTGTGGTGGGTTACAAAATGTATGGCCAAAATTTCTCCCCATTTTAGTATGCACACCCCTTTGCATGCATGTTTTGTTGTTGCTTTTTCATCTGTTGAATTTATGGAGTGGCCTTGTTCAGTTCCTTTGACCAACAGAATGTGGGTGAAAGACTTCAGGAAGTTTCTAAAGCAAGGCTGTAAAGGCTTTGTCTTCTTGAAATGCTGCACAGAGACCACAACATAAGCTCGTGTAGTCTACTAAAGCATATGAGGCCATGTGGAGAAAGACCAAGGTTCCTTAGTACCAATTTCCAGATATGTGAGTGATCCCTGCATAACCTTCCAGTCTAGCTGACCTAGTTGAATGCAGACGAGGATTGAGTATCAGGCTAAAATTCAGAATTGTTTTTTGAAACTGCCTTAAAGTTTTAAAATTGATTTTGGAAAGTTACATTTTTAAAGCAGACATATCTTATATATGAACATTATTAACCTTTTCACTATTCAGTACTTTCATGAAATTTTCCATTTTTCTCAAATTCTCTGGGTAGTCATGATTTAGGTCTATATTTTTAAGTAGCACATAACTGGATTTATTTTCCCCAAGGTGATATTTTAATTGGTTAATATTTTTGCTTTAGAAGACTTTGTGTTTTGTATTAAATCTTAAGTTACTTAGAACATATTACCTATGTGAAAAATCATTCTCTGCTAATCTTACAACTATAAAGATAGGTGAGGACTTTTAGAATCTCTTATCTTGGTGTGATATATTTTTAAGCTCAGACAAACATCTAAAATTAGTACCTTAATTTGCAGCTTTGCTTCTTGAAGTCGACCTTTCCATGAGGCTACAAATTTAAGGCTATCCACAGAATGACCCATTGCCCTGTAAAAGTAAAGCATCAGATGTCACAAAAAAAATTCTCAGATGTTTCAGGATGTGCAGCTCTTTGGTAAAACATGTGCTTGTGCTTTGCATGTGTGAAGTCCAAGGTCAATCCCCAGAACCAAAATCAAACCCCTCTGTACTAATTAAAATAACTGAAAAAAGATGCAGATATATTGTTATTTAGTTTAAATTGAAATATTTACAATGAGCAACTAAGATCTATAATACCTATCTTTGATTTTACACTGTCTTTACAGTTAACTCTTTTAATATGACAGTCCTTAGGTACAATCCTTAAGTATAGCATCTTTTTCATTTTTCCATTCTCCATTTTGACCATGATCATCAAATGCAGGCATGTAATAGGTGTTCAATAAACATTTCTTAGCAAAGCTGAAAAACTGCTATCAATAATATTCTAAAACAATATAAACTAATATCCCTAGAGTCACCAAGTAAATAAATTTTGCTCAGTATATCTCTGGTACTCTTTCATTACCTTCTAACATTAAAAATTATGGTCTAAACATGATATGATGACAAAAATCTGGTATAAAAAAAGAATTTAATCTTAAGCATCTGGTCCTCTTTTCTACCAAGAAGCCCAGTCACCACTGTCCAATAGAATTTTCTAGATAAACATGTTGGTGTGCAGTCTAAAATGTAGCCACATGTGTGTACTGATTACTATGAATATGAGTAGTTGACTAAGAAACTGAATTTTTAATCTTAACTTTAATTAAATTTAAATACCCCATGTGATTTCTAGCTACCATTATCAGACACCATAGGTCTAATAAATAATTGGCCAAATTTTAGAAGTTAAATTTCATCTACTTTCAGCTCTAATAACACATCATAACTAAAAGCAATGTGCTTTTCAAAAGTTACCTATTGTTATAAGTATTAGGGAATAACTGTTTGGATTTCAGCAATAAATTTTTTTTCACAAGATGGTGTGATCAGAAGTGAACAAAGCAAAATATGATCACCTTCAGGGACAAATAAATATTTCACTTTTAATTACCTTGCAGTTTCCTGGCGAAGAGCATTAAGAAATGTCTCTGGATGGAAGAGTTCTGAAAGGTCAAGTGTATCAGACAGAAGGGCCTGATTTTTGGCTTTATCTACCCAGTTCTAGAAAAGTAAGGGAGACAGGTACATAAATATATATATTTTTAAAAGTTATATAATTATTAGTCATTTTCTATGAGAATTGCTTCCAAATGTTTTAAAAGGATATCAAGGAAAAAAATAGATTTTCATTTTACTAGTAAAGCATGACATAGTATTTTCAAATAATATCTGTATTCATCATAAATAAGCTTCCCTGTATAACCTTTCTGCTGGTTACAAAAATGAGCTCAAAATAAAAAGTCTAAATGTAGAAATTAATTCTGTGAACAGAATTTCCATTTGGCCCAACACTTCTAGTAATGACTTATTTCATAGTGTGTGCACAAGAAACTGAGCACCCTGGTCTGACTCAAGGATCCTCAGGATCTTCATGCTTTGGCAATGCAAACTGAATCAGGGTTCAAGTCCAGATCAGATAGTAAATCTACCACATTACTGAATCAAGTAGTAGTGAAAGCTAATGTCAAAGAAGAAATAATTCTTTGTCAATGGGTATTTTAAAGTGGTCTTTTCCATTCATCTGCCATTTTATAAATCAACCTAAAGTCCATTTGGAGTAATACATCTACATAACGTATATTTAAATATTTTTAAAATTGCCACTTGGAACAAAAAGTCTTCTGCGATACTTAAGTGATTTTCATGGATTAATTGATTTTATGCTTATTACAACCCTGTAATTTAATATCTCCATTTTACAAATGTGAAAATGGAGTACAATTATGTTAAAAGTCTTCCCAAGATCCCATAGTAGGCTTTAGACCCTGGGAATAAACTCAGGCATCCTTAAGTGATTTATTTCTCTATATTTCCTGCAGTTGCTAATGTGCTATCTTAGTCACTTTCCTTGCTGATACAATACCTGACACCCACAAATTGAAGGAAGGCAGTTTTACTTTGGCTCATGTTTTCAAGCCTATGGTCAGCTGGTTCCAAGGCAGAAAGGACATGGTGACTGTGGAAGAGCCTGGGTGGAGGCAGCAGCTGCTCACATTATAGCAGCCAGGAAGCAGAGAGTGAAAGGAAGAGGCAGGGAGGGAGCTATACCCTTCCAGGTCAAGTCCCCAGTGACCGACCCACCTCTACCAGGCCCCACCTCCTAACAGTACACTCAGCTTCTGAACTCATTAGTGGATGGATCCACTGATGAGGATAGAGCCCCATGATCCAATCACTGTCACAAGCCCTGCTATTGAGCTCATAAGAGTTTTGGGGAACATTTAGATCTAAACCATAACATATACCTTGATAGACATATGGAATACTCTTGATTTCCAAATCAGCTTGTTATTTCAGCTGGTGCAGAGATGGTAGGTACTACAGTAATGCCAGCTGTTAAAAACTTAGCAAATTCTCATTTACTGAGTAATTTAAAAAGTCAAGGAAAAATGTGTTCATTACTTTTACAGAAAGGATGTGTATTATGTATTGTAACAGCCTAATATCTACCTAAGCATTAATATTTCTCAGCTAAGACCAGAACAGGAGAAATTAAAATCTTTGAAAGCCACTATTTCATTAATATGTAAATGCATGTGACTAGTATTCAAATCAATGGATGTGATGATTCTGTGTAGAAAAGATTTTAAAGAGATATCCTTAGTAAATATAATTTTTTCTCTCAGATATTATCCTCTACAATAACACTTCACAAAATATTCTCAAATAAATTATACACAGCTATTTTTTTCACTCCCTACCAAATAATTTCTTTAGTTGAACAGTAAAAAAAAAATTTACATCACCCTTTTAAGTAATATTTATTTTACAAGGTTTTAAAAATAATCATTTAATATACACATATTTCCAATTATAGTATTATTTGATGCCTTAAAATTTATTTTGAATTCAAATATCTCTAAAAGAATTCTTGCCAGAAACAGATATACATATGTTCAAATTAATTAAAAATTAGAGTGTTGTGGCTGATACATTTTCACTTCATTAAACCTTGGGTTAATTTAGTCAAGGAGAGAAAGTTCTGTTGGTAAAAAATTTTACTGGTTTATAAGAAAAGAATAATATTAATCTTTTAAGCTTAAAGGTAGATTAACATAAAGGTATTTTTTGATAAAAAGTTTTAAAACAGATTATTTTAGTGTGTATAAATGTCTGAGCAGTAAACGTCATAGTGGAGGAACACTTTTTTATACTTAGAACAATATTTATACTCATTCATAAGCATGGAAACAAAAGGGTACTATCTTTAATAAGAGATGTGCATACACAAATTGGGCTTGTAATAAAGTTGTAGATATATTAGCTGACATATTTTTGAGTAAATGTTTCTTTACTTCTGGTCATAAGCTATGCTCTTTTGAAAGGATTAATAGAGATAGAACATAAGATTTCTAATCTCAACTATGATTATGAGTTTTTATACTGAGTCTTCAAACAATGTATAAAAATTATGAAAATTAGTGAATAAATATCAGAATGGAAAGGCTGAAGGGGAAGGGCAAGTTCTTGCATACTACACACATACACAATGTTAGAAGAATAGGTAGCATAGCTTCTAAACTGGAATGAATCTTGGGAATAACTACTATAGTTTCCTTATTAAGACAAAATAAATGACTTTCCAAGGTGATATGGAATAATAATAAAATATTACAGTATTTTATTTAATGCAGATTATAAAGAAGAATTTATGAATTCAAATTATATTAGAGTCACTGAATACAAAGGGCTTATTACATAGCTAAGGGAGAAGAGACATGTACAAATAACAGAAAAAAGGCATTGAGGGCAAAATTACATAAGTATCTCAGGACAATTCCACTCCATTATGGATTTTT